AATATGAAGTTTAAATTTCTTATGTTAATCTACTATAATTATTACTTTGATACAATATTATTATTACTAATTTTGCAATCTAAATACTAATAACTTTTTAAATTATTCAATACATGTCATCATGAACGTCATGTGACATCAGCTTTATTTGATTATATTTCCTTGATATTAAAGATTATTAAAAATGCGTTTATGAATTGTAAGTGCACAATTTTCATGTATGAGCTTTGATAAACTTGTAGCAGATGGCATGTTTATTACAATAAATGGTGATTAAATTTTTTACGTACTGTTGTATGCTAGATTTGTGGAATAAACCGAAATTATTGAACAGTTTTGAAAGAATCTAGGTATTTTGCCTTGTGGCAAGTTGCTTGAACTTTTTGATATGCAAATAATTTATTTAAACACTAATATTTTTTATTTTGTACATGATCTACCTGTTTACCTGTCCACCTGTATATCTCTCTACATTTATTCTTGCCTATCAGTTCACTTCTCTACCTCTTTACCTGTTTAACTGTCTACCTGTCTACCTGTTCACCTGTCTAACATATCTAACAGTTATGACTGCCAATCTGCTTACCAGTCTACTTTTCTACTTTTTTATCTGTTTCACTTGTTTGTCTTCATACCAGTATGCCTGTGTACCTATATATTTGCCTACCTTTTTAACGACAATTCTCTTTGTATATGAGTCAATAACACGTATGATTGACGAATATACTCGTCATGGAAAAGTGGTAGAATTTTGTGTATTGACGAGTTTTTTATCATATAAAACAGTGACCTTTTGTTATTTGAATCAATATTTTTGATGAAAGGAAAATATATTCTGCAATGTAGAGTTGTTTAAAATATTTTAAGGCATAAAAATTCTGCATAAAATTAGTAGTTGTTAGAGGCATTTTACCTTGAAATTTGTGCGCACAAATTGCAACATAATTGTCTCATCTCTGTGTAATCAATTTTATCATCAATGGGGTCTTCTTCCACTTGGAAACATATGGCTGTTTACATTTTGAAGTAAAAACGGATGTCACTACCGCTTGACATCAGGCATTTCGAAGCGGGACCGAACTGCTCCAGGCGCTCAAGCCACTTACCAACGAGTGAGCTTATAAAATTTAGATACTTCAATAAAATGATTATTATACATATTTCTTTGCTATTATATAACTTTATTGTGTCTAGACGAAAAATATTTAGCATAACAATATCCCTGAGTTTATTTCAAAAATAACCATAATGCTATTTCTCTAATAATTAATTACATTTAATATTAGTGGTTAAAATTTAGTTAAATTGAGACATTATCCGATAGATAAAATATACAATTTTTTTGTAAAATGTCTTTATATATGCTAAGATCAACTATTATTTCTTATAGTTGGGTTAGGTCGAATTCATTGTTCATTATCTCAAAAATGTTCAATTTCCGGAATTCATCAAAGCGATCTCATGAACATCCGCCAACTCTCGAATTATTACTCCATTCAAAGCAAAGCAAAGCAAAGCAGAAAGTTATTTATATTTTTTGGGAAAGCGTCAGTTTGCGTACATTAAATGTTTAAGTGTTTTGAGGTTCTATTTCGCGAGTTAACAAGTGTTATTACCGCATCCGTATCCGTTCGGCCCAGTTCTTTGACGGTAAGTGACATTTAATTGGTGCCCCGGAGACCGGAGAGATTATACACACCTCGGTTATGGAAATGTTCTTGATTCACCTTCTTAATGCATTTCTTATTAATGCGACTGTGGTAATAAATGATTGATGGTAGCTGCGTTTAATAACTTTATTAACATATTAATTGAAATGGCGTGTTAACATCACCTTCTGTAATAATCAGATAATGGATTAATAAGACTTGGTAATCATCACGGTAATTTTTTAAAACTCTTATTTTAAGAATAAAAAATACTATTTTCACATAAGTAACCTTTAAATCCTCAATTATAATTTTAAAATGAAAGTAAACAAACAGAGTCTTTTCACAATTTATTTTTCATATTTTTTATAGCAATTAAATTTTGGGATTTGTCACCTTTACTTACATCAGTGCTTTTATTACGAAAAAAAACAAGTGAAATTGTATTTTTCCGATTGCAGTGGTCGGGAAACAGGGGTAAAAATGAAATTTTTGTGGATAAAAAGTATGTATTTTGAATTGTATATTTTTTCTGTATTTTCTACGTAATTGTCCGCATCGGGGTAATTTTTTTTGCCATAGGGTTACAAATATATTTTGTTTGCTACATCTTAACATTTAAGGTAGCCCGGATTTTTCAAAAGCAATACTTGTCCCGGATTTAGAACGTTGATCCCGGATTGTCCCGGGTTTTCGAAAAGTATAGGTTTGAATTTATTCTTCGTTAATTTCAATAATGTATAATTCTTCTTATACTAAATTTGAAGTACAAATATTTACTCAAAAACCTTAATTCAAGTTTAGTTCCAAAAAATTTTTTTTTGGTACGCACATATTTATTGTCAATCAGAATATACATCATTCTTTAAGACTAATATGCTAGTCTTAAGATAACGAAGATAAAAAGTTTTAGTTAGAAGCAAATCATGGAATGAAGGTGCCTGAGAAGTCATAACTTATATACTTCTCATTACCGTAAAAAACAAATTTTTAAAGAAAAGTTAAGTAATTTATATATTTTTTCTTTACTACTTCAATTGCCATTAATACTTAATGGCAATTTGTTGAATAGTGTAATACCAAGCGCGTCTGTAAAAGTATTAAATGAGGAAGCAAATTTTAATGTGAAACCATTAACACGTTCATGTTTTGTATTAGATTTGGGATTTGAACTTTAAATAATAAAAACATTTTACAAAGAATAATTGTCATTATTCTTCATAAAATAAAGGGTTATTAGAAAAAACGCAAGAAACGGCTAAGATCTTGCTCACTTCTTTCTTCACATTTCTTGCTTAAATAAAAGGTTATCTTATTAGGTGACCAAATTTTCCAAATTATGCTAAATAATTTAAATATGATTTAAAAATAACAAATACTATAAAAACCGATACAATAAAAAGCAGTTTTTTTTAATATATCCATTTTTTTAATCAGATCTTACTTTCAAGATCTATAATATTCGATTGTATGCTATACTCTTCTTTTGCCTATAATTTTATATCAAATCTTACATTTTTCGATATATTTTTCCCCCTTTTAAACCTTGAAATTCTGTTTAATTTTCTTCAAAATTACCTTGACAAAGTTAGCATTTGTTCGTTTGTCTTCATAATTTTTGTTAATTTTCGCGAAATTGCAAATAAAGTTGGTATTTATTAATGCGAGAGGCTATTTTAACCTGCCTTTAGACTTTTTTATGCGGCAAATTTTTCATTCCTAACGTATTTATTCATATAAGCATACTCGTTTGTCTTGTAATATACGTGTATCATTTTCAGATATTGGATGGGTGATTGTAATTTTGTTATCAAGTAATTGCGATAAAGTATGAGAAGAAATATATATTATTAAAATTAGTTGTTATAAACACTTCATATTTTCTAAGACTATGAAATATATATATAGAAAATGAAAAATATGAATTGCAACCCGTAATCAACAATACCTACATAAGAAATAAAAAAGGTGAAAATAAACTTACAAACATCAAATATGGGTCATAAAGATCTCTATTACTGAGTCTAATAAATCACCAATCAAATTTAGGGGCTAATTCTCCGATAAAATAAACTGTAACATAGCGTTGTTATGGCAATGCTCTTTTATGATTCTTCATTTATATTGGTTGTAAAAAATGTCAAAATGATTCATGATTGCAGTCTTAGATACTAAACCTAACCATGTTATACGTGAAGTTAGATTTTATGCGTAAAACGCAAATATCGAAGAATTGGCTACCTAATAGTGACTAGATGCTAAAATAAAAATATCAATATTAGCCGTCACACTTATAATTGACACCTAATTGGTTTGTAACTAATAGTATTCCAACTGCAAATGGGACAGTCATATTGGATTTCATATAAGATTGGTAGTAGAAAATACATCACACAAGAGCCCATAATGCTCCGAATATTTCAGATTTCTGTTCAAAATGAAAATTTAAAAAATTGAATTATTTACATCCTAGAGATTCAATTCTCAATTGAATAAACTGGAGGATAATTTCATTTTTTTCTGTAAATAAAACTTAAATGCCATATTCCGCATAGTAATAAATATATTCATACATCTGTTATTTAATAGTCTATTATGCAAATGCTTCCGCGTATTATATTCAAGAATCTTGATTTCTAAATAAAAAATCTTTCTAAATAAAGTAAAAAATGAATTGTGATAACAAAGTTGACATATATAACTAGTTTTACAAGCATAGTTTATCGGTTCAATCTAACAGATTTAAATCTGTGTTTTCTGTATTCACATTTAAAACTGATATGCACATAAATTATAAATTGTCCATGTCCTGCAATTGTTGAAGATAATTAATGATAATGTAAAATTAAAAATTATATAGATTTTAATTTTACTTCATACTGTGTTATAATAGTTTTACAATGTGTTAACAAAGCTAAAGATCATAAAATACGATATACCGTTAATAAAATAAATCTATTAAATTAATTTTTATGGCTCCATTTTGTTGAGATATGATTAGTTTAAAAAAAAATCGTTTGATTTTGACTAATATTGTTTTTAAAGGATAAGATATAATTCCTGTTGTATGAGATGATTATAAAACCTCATTTTATTATATATTCAATTTTTTAATGGTGAGATAGTATAAATAATTTTCTGAGTGATACAAAACCTTTAGATTAAATGATAGAGAGATCAACCTTTAAATCTACACATTATAATGTTAATTTATTATAATTCTTAGTTTCTTAGAGTTATATGTCTTTTACAGTTGAACCTTTACTATTAAAGCATTTGTTTTGTACACAATTAAAGAAAAATTGAAATGACATGAAAATAATAAAAATAACTATTTTGTCTATTTTTCAGCATGTGAACATTACCGAAAATCGGCAGCCCGCCGAGCGAAAAGCTTAGGAACCACGTCGGTTCGGGTTCCTCGTTGTAAAGCTGACGGCGAATGGGAACGCGTACAATGCGGCCCTGGCGGTCAAGGCCCTTGCTGGTGCGTCGATGAAGGAGGAGCTGAACTACCAGCGACCAGAGCACCATCTAGGGATCTGGTGAACTGTACCGGTTAGTTACAATTTTATATCATACATTGCACGAGATAAAATATTAACTATTGTTTATTATTAAGTTATCTTTTTATACAAAGAGTTCTTAAGAGTATGAATAATATTTTGAGTATATGAATTAACAAACAACAAGAATATTTTATGCTTTAAAGTTTCTTATTTAGCTCTGACGGTTTCTGATAGTTGTCTTCAATCCCCTGTATACTTATCATAAAATATTCATAATTCTAATTAATTTGAAGCAATATGAAACCCTTTTGTCTATTACGAGTAATAGTAAATTTAAAATATTTTTTTGAAAATTATTTTCGCAATATTTTATTGTAATTTATGTTACTTAAATAAACAAATTAGTTCAAAACAACAATAATATTATAGGGAGTAGATATTTATAAAATTAAAATTAAATTGAATTGAATTATCTCATAAATCAGATTTAAGGGTTAATGCATTAACTTACCCTAAACTGAAAATTTAATGATTTATAATTTTTTTTGTTCCTACTATGTATTAAATATTTTGCAAAGTATTGTATATCACCAGCATAAATTTAAACGTAAGCTACATTTTATGGTTTTAATACCTATGGCATATGGATATAAGTAATATAGTCCAACTAAATTTACAAATTGTCAATACTCTTTGTCAATCTTTTCTTGCATATATACATTCTTTTTATTCTACATTTTATAATTGGTCAGTTTCGTAAAAATGAAAGTGCTATTCAAACTTGTTATATTGATTACTTCTATTTTTGTTAGGCTGGCAGCCCAACCTTAATTATTCTTGCATCTATAATTGCAGACATCTACTTTTGTAACTATATTTTTCTCTTTGCGTTATGCAAGTTAATACAATTTACATACAGCATGCAAATTTTCAACGTAACGATTTGATGTATCTCTGTTCAAATGTTAAAAGATGTTATATAAAAGTACATGAATATGTAATATGCAGAAGTTTATAATTCTATAGTAATAAACAATTTGCATGACACAGAGATGAAATATAGACATTGGAAGAAATTCCGCTAAAATGCACTAACAATTTTATAATTAGAATTATGGTAAAACATTTCTATGTTCATCTATAATTGATTATAAACTTTCTATTTTTATTACTGCATTTATTACATTAAATTTTGTTTTTCTGTACATTAGTTGCGGAAGAACGGTGTCCAGCCCACTCGTGCAGGATGCTTTGTCCGTTGGGATTCGCTCTGGATGAAGCTAGTGGATGCCCGCGATGCGAATGCAGGGATCCTTGCGCTGGTGTTCAATGTCCAGGAAACCAGCAATGCCGATTGCAAGATGTTGCTTGCAGGACGCAGCCTTGTCCACCCGTTCCAACTTGTTAGTTGATCATTGATAAATTTCTCCTATTAAATTTACTATTCAATTTATTTTGGTTCAGATATAATTAAATAGTTTATTTAGTGTAAATGAATTTTTCATAAAGTTCATGAAAAGTTTAGATTATAAAGTATATATGTCTACGTTTTAATAATCAACTTAGGCAAACGTGCTCGTTCGTTGGAAGAGTTATGTCCAGTTGGATCACCATTGTCTATAGCAGATACCAGAAGGCCTTTCTTGTGTGGAAATGATCCTGGTAAACCAGATTGTCCACCAATGTATCGGTGTCTCGTACAAAGAGGTACTAAAAAAACAAATAGTAGAATTAAAATGTATATATGTTTAATTTTCATTTAAGATATTTTGTTATAACATTTTTATACGATGAAGATTGAATTATATTCTGATAAGCAAAAGCTGCTATAAATTTTATCACTTAGTTAATCTAATTTAAAATTGTTCTTTTAATGAAATTTACATATTCCAACATGATATTCACTTTTACTATTTACAATTTCTTTTACTACTATTTATCTTGTAATAGTCTTAAAATTATATTTATTAAAATAAATATTTGCAGGAAATGAATATGGAGTATGTTGTCCAGCTTCACTCCACATTCGTAAACCAGGTACATGTCCAAATGATGATTTGACACCGATGATGGCAGCAGCTGGACTTATTCCTCACCAAGAATGCACTTCCACTTGCCAACATGACCTCCAATGCCCTGGTGAAACTAAATGTTGCCAAACCAGAGCTTGTGGCGGCCAATGTAGACGCCCAGAAAATGCTACAGGTAACAGAAAAAGTTGAACGAAAGATCCTAAATTTTTTGATATATTATATTACCAATTTGAACTGATATTTTTTTCTCTAAGTTTTATGTGACCTTTGTAATAATTTATTTAACTATTGCATCGAATTTGACAGCATGCCACAGACAAAGATTACTCTCAGAAGTTTTAGCAATCGGAGAACGGGAAGGACGTGGGTATATTCCTCAATGTGACCAAGAAACTGGTATGTTCCTGCACAAACAATGTTCTAGAAATGGCTTAGTCTGCTGGTGTGTCCATCCGCGTACTGGTGATAAACTTAAGGGTACCATGGGGTCATCAAAGGATGTCGATTGTCCGGCGGAGGTGATAGGTAATATTTATTAATTGTACGATATTTTATAATAAAAAAAAGTAAAATATTTCGTTGCATCGTAAATTAGATGTTTTTAATAAAAAGTAGAGAATTGCATTTCTATTTAAAAAATATACAAAAGTATATATGCAACAAATAATGATGTATAATCTAAACAAATTTAGAATAAGATTGGAATATTAACTAACTCTTATCAAAAGTGAATTAAAATTTATTTTTATTGCAGAACGGGCTTCTGGACGAAGTTTAGTGGATGATAGTAAATGTGATAAAAACATATGTGCTGCCGTTTGCGAATATGGATTCAAAGTAAGTCTGTTTTATTTAAACATCATTGTCATGAGAATCACAGAGAATTTTAGGTTATACTTACTTTTACTAATTATTTCTCAATATTTTATGAAAATTATCTTTTTTTTTGCAATTTTAGGACGATGAAAATGGTTGCCCAACTTGTGAATGCGAGGAACCATGCTCTGGATACAATTGTCCTGCAGGACATTCTTGTACTGTTGCCAGAGATGCTTCTTGTGAAATGGGTGGTGGCGAAAGATTGTGTGAATCGGTGCCTGTTTGTAAGTAGTTTATTTATTTTGTTTGATTTTTTTATTTGCAATAAATACATCGCAAAACTTTGTCATTGTAAGAGAAATTGACTTCGATTTTTAAATTAAGTTCACTTTTGTATTAAAGACGAGATTGAGATTACTTTAAAAATCGTATTTCAAAAATAGAATTTACACCTTTATTACGCCTGCTCACGTAGCTATCATCATAATAACTTAAACGTACATTCAAATTATAAAATAATAACGTTCTCCTCACTTGGTCCAATTAGCATTAGTTTTATGCGGCTACAATTTATTTTTATTCACTTTGTGGAGTACTAATGCTTATTTTATAAGATATTTTTTATGTATATTGCTATGTTTATCTCAATGTTTATAAAATTTATTTTTATAAATAACATGTATATTATTCTTTCAGGTCGACCTGATGTTCTGTACAGCAATCCTTGTACAAATGGTGCACCTCTGACCTTGCAAAATTCATCCCAACCCGTCCATTGTGACGAAGAATCGAAATGTCCTGCTGATTTCATGTGTACTTCAGTCCCACAAGAAAGTGAGCAGGTCTGCTGCCCCATCGAGAATACTGATGTGGAAGTTATTGCTGATAAATCGGAGGACCAACTTTCAGAAGCTACGGCTGATGTTGACAGAGTGCAAACCAGTATGTAAAAATTATTTTTATGAAAGGCTGACTCACATTATTTAGCTAATGATTTTATAGTAAGGATTCATTTGAATAAAGTAAACTGGATTAAAGTAAATTCTTAAATTATAAAAAAAATATTTGAATTTATTTTTATTTTTAGGGAATAATCATTTGTTTGATTTTCACTTGTATTAAAAAATATATATTTACTTCTTACTACAAAATTACTTTTAGTGTGCGAATATCTGCGAGACTTTTCTGCGCGAATGGAAGGTACAGTTTCAGGATTGGAATTAGCCTTGCCAGCCCCAACTTGTGATCAGGATGGCAGTTATGCTCCAATACAATGCGAGATTGCTAATAACAGAACATGCTGGTGTGTCGATCGATATGGTAAAGATTATATTAATATATCCTACCAATATTCTTTTTAGGCATTTAGTTTTGGATTAAAATTTTCAAAATTATGTAAAAAAACTTCTTATCGCCATTTTATCTTGTACATAGAGATTTTTTTATAATGTGAAGTAGTTTCTTGCATTTTCTCATTATTCAATACAGATTTGATAATAAGATTAAATAAATGATATTTTTCACCATTTAGATATCAATATAATATAGATATAATATAATATAATAAAAATTAATTTAACAACATTGGATTATGATTTTTCTAGGTACCGAGTTGCCAAAAACGCGAACATCGGGCAATACAACTCGTGAATCATGTGAAGCCCTAAGGGAGTCTGTTCCATGTCTCGAAGTGAGTTGCAGAATGGGTTGCGACTATGGTTTTCTTCTGGACTCTGAAACAGGTTGTCCAACTTGTCAATGCAGAGACCCATGCGATGGAGTCACGTGCAAGCCAGGAAACCAATGCCAACCTGTCGAAGTCGCTTGTGTGGATGGATATTGCCCTCCAGTTCCAGCATGTAAGTAGCAATTTTGTGCTTAATGGTAGGCCTCCAGAAAAGGTTAACAGCAACATTACAGTTTTATTTTTTACAAATAAAATACTACAAATCATATCATCTGCAAGACAGATACACATACAATGTTAATAATATGAATTCCGAATTTTGGTTATATTTGCTTTTCGGTTTACAATTGAATTATTCAACACAAAATTATGATCATAAATAAGGGAGGAAAACAAAATAATTGACTTGTGGTGCTCTCACACCATAGATCTGCCTTTGGGCGGACTACTATCTATTATTGTTATTATTGATAATTATAGTTGAATTTATATTGATTATTTAATTATATTATTTATGAATAGAGATATATTAGCTGTATTTTAATCACTTTAATTAATTTTCTAGGTTTACCAAGCAAACCTGGCCAATGCCCATTCCTCGTGCCACCTCCAACTGGAGCAGGCGAAGATATCTGCTCCGTTTCTTGTTCTTCTGATGATGAATGTTCTGGTGACAAGAGATGTTGTTCTACTGGATGTGGCACCAGATGCATGCAGCCAGAGGTTAAAACTTATTGCCAACACTTGCAGGTTAGACATTGTGTACTTTCAACAATTTCATTTACAAATGTTTTGTTATGCGCCAGGTAATAATTATAATATAATATTAATAAAATGAAAAAACGTGATTTGTGGGTGAAGGAGTTTAACATTTTGATTTTTACATGATCACTATTTTGAAAACTATATTTGAAGATTGTCAATCAGAATGTATAATAAAAAGAACTACAATAAAAGAACTACTTTAAAAGAAAAATTAACAATCAAAATGAATAGAGTCATGGTCATTTTTCGTAGGTATAGTCTCAATGCCTTCAAATACAAAAGATTTTTATTCATACATATATGTTGAATCTCATTAGTGTCCTGCAACAAATGAAATAATAAACCCATTTCATAACATGTTCTAAATTAATTAGCTACCACTGACTTTCCGCTTGTGGATGCGTCTTTATTGTGGGTAATTAATTAATTATAAGTATTTATTTTGATGCTATTACGATAAAGTAACTAAATTTAAAAACAATTCAGGCTGTGCAAATGCACAGAGCTCATGAATCAGGAACGCCTGCCAGAATGACGTATATTGCCCAATGTGATGAAAATACAGGAGCTTTTAGACCAGTCCAATGTGGTGCAGGAAACAGCTGTTGGTGTGTTGACGAACGAACTGGACAAGAATTGCCGGAATCCAGAACAAGAAATGGACGAAACCAAATTGCAATGGTGAGAGTTAATATTACACTTTGAATAACTAATTGTATACTGATTATGATTGTGAAAATAAAAGAAGTAAGAAAACAGCCATCACACAAATTTATTTTTCTACAATTGTTTCATTTTGTTTATGTGCCTGCGTGTAAGCTGCACTATTTTATTTGTAAAAGCTAACACAAAATGACAATTATTTCTAATAATGTGAACTTAGATAAAATATATGTAGGTGCATAATTTCATAATTTCTATACACAAATTACTACTTTTTGTTAAATTAATTTTTTGTTATTTGTATATGCCCAAATTTTAGAATGCATCCTTTTCTATTTAAAAAAAGTCCATGATAACTGACCAAAGTCAAAATATAAAACATAAGTAATGAATAATATGAAACAAATTATACACAAATCAACTAAAATCAAATTATATTAAAAATTGTTATTAAAATCGAATCATATAAAGCTATTACGATTTTTGTTATTCACAACAATCCATACATTTGGAAGTAGCTTTTTTAAAATAATTAATGATTGATTCTAATTTTTTTTTTTAGAAATACCATCACGTTGTCCTGCTGTTTATTGCGCAACTGAATGTGAACACGGATATAAAATATCGGCCAGTGGTTGTCAATCTTGTGAATGTAATGATCCTTGCCAAGGTGTTCGTTGTGGACAACCGAATGAATCTTGCAGGTAAGAAAATTTTTGAAATATAAATTGGATCGATATGCTAGAGGTTTTCATTTATAATTGTATTTATAACAGTGTACATCCAGATATTATCTGGATAATTTTTTCAAATTAATTTCAAAAATTAAACCAAAATATTTAAAAAAATATTTTTATCAAGTTTTTAAAATCATGCATACATATAGTCATGATTAATTCATAAAAACATAAAACTGTGTAAAACTGGGCTCAAAAATGTTTTGAATTTTATAAAACATATCATTATATAAATTCATTTTCAAAAAAACGTTAGAAATAAGTATCTTGAAAATTTGTTTCTTCGCCTTCTTTCCAAGTGTTCCAAGCTGTGAAATAATTATAATAAATTTAATTTTGGTGCCAATGATTGTGCAAAACTTTCATATAGTTTCAAAATTATTTAGATTTTGATAACAAGTTATAATCTGTTTGAAGTATTTTTGAAATCTGTACTGCTTATAAATAATAAATAAGTTTTAGATGGATGATCCAATACTTCATTCCACTAAAGCAAAACATTAGAATAATAATAACAAGAATATAAAATCAAGTAAGGATACTACAAATAAAGTTCTTAACACTATCATTGCCTTAATTTAAAAATAAAGTGAAGTTAATTTACCTTATTGAAAAATGCTCCATGAACACCAGAAGAATTATTTCCACAAAAATGATTCCATATAAATTATCACTGTCGATTCACAACCAATTGGCGCAACATTTCTTTTATTTCCTCCAACTGCGCTTTGGTGTCCTCAATCGCTGTCATAGCAGCTTGTCCTGGCAATTCAGGAGCCGCTTCGGCCTCTTTATCTCGGAAATATCGTTGCACTAACTGCACCATAAGGTGAGGAAAGTTTTTGGCAACACTTTCGTCTTCTTCGATATCTTGTAACAGCATTAGTCGGAGAGCATTTGCTGTTTTCCCTGTGAAACCATTTTTTTTTCACTATTTAACTTATTTTATTTCTTATTTTATTTTTCTCAATAACCTTCTGGTGGAGAAGCTTTAACTTTGAGCCAAGTCACTATTGAACTCAATCCACTTGCCGTCGGAAAAATGTTGAAAGGCGAAGGAAGCACTGTTTGAGACATATAATCCACATATACCTGAAATTTAAAACATATTCAAATAACCATAATTTTCTTATATTAAAATATTGACTGTATATTTTGCTGAAGACAAAAATGATTGATTATAAAACGTTAATTCTACAAAACTGCAAAGAATGTGTGACAACTTGAAGGCAATAATTAACATAAAATTTAAAATGTATGAGCCACACAATAACTCAAATTATAATCCTGAAATTTTTTTAACTAATATCTGCATATAACAATATTCAATTTTAGTGATTTTTATAATTCTCACTTCAGTCCTTCCAAATGTCCACTCAACTTCTACATTATCCGTGACCCTCTGGAAGGTGTTGCTCATTGTGGCAATCAACATATTCAGTATTATTATTACGGAAACAACTTCAAAGCATGCAAATGCTAAATAACCAACAGCTTCTGTAAAACTGTGTCTGTTTATTATAGTAGTGTTCTCTGATTCACCCGGAAGATTTTCGATTACTACATCGGCAGATTCTATTGGTGACATGCAAAACAGTGCCCAAAATAAGGTCTTGATCGTGTTTCCGAAACTTACGAAGCTGCTAACTTGCTGCGTTTTCATTCCTGTTTCATTTATAGGATTGACAAATGTAAATTCGAGATTCATGAGATAATTCTTGCGATGATTTATGGTTTTATCAAAGATGATTTCTGGTGTATTTATTTTTTTTAATTTAAATTTTCAAGTGAACGATAATATTAGTTTCCATTCTTTTTAATAAGTAAAAATGACTAACCTGATTGTTCATCAACTTGTATCATTCCATCATAATATTCATATAGTCTTGCCAAACCAGAGCTAAATGCCATAATAATGATCATGTAAACTACTACATATTTTGCGATATCAGCTGTCATTTTTCCTAAAGATACCTAAAAATGATAACAGTTTTACAAAAATATTCTTAATATTTGGTAATTTATCAATGTCGATCGTTACTTGAAGTGGTCCCAAGTGATAGTTCAGTTGACATAAAAACATTAATTTGAAGAAAGCCATTATCGTAGCTACGGTGAATGTTCCTTCCGCAAGTAAAGTAGGATCCAAGTGGTGCCAATATTTACGTTCTAATTGTGCACTGGATTTGTCCTCTTTGGAGTCCATTAATGCCGCAAGCCAGAAGAGAAAAGTCAATACGAACAATATAATCATGCATATTTCATACCAGTTCCACATTTCACGAAAATCTGAAACATTAAGAATAATTTATTTCAATGTAAAGATTTAGAAATATTAAAAAAATAGTTCACCTCCTTGGTCCTTGTATCGCGCACAATCTGCCTGTACTCCAAGCATACCCAATCACAAAAACCACAAGAGGTAATTCTAAACCAGATTTAGGAGGTCCACGATTTTGCGTTTCTTTATCCAAATTAGATTCAATGAAAACCAGGACCAAAAATACAATGTAACTGGCTGTGTGACTTATCATTTTATTAATGGGTAAAGAAAATCTCCGTACCATAGGAGATTTTGGAAGAATTAGGCAAATAATAAATATGAAAGGAAGCAAAAAAGCTCGAGGTATGAGTTCTAAGATACGTAGAGGTTCCGATCGTAGTTTCCATTCGTGCCAGTCGCCAATCCAGGCAGCCTCTAGAACCTAAATACATTGAACAAATATATTAGTTATTTTGCCTTGGTGATTTAACATTTTTGTTTTTACTTTGATTGCACAAGCTATATTCTTACCTCAATAAAAATTGTATAATTTTAAAGTAGTAAAGTTTTTTTATTAATAACAACAAAAATTAATTGATGAAGCGGTACACGCAGCAAATGTAGAAGATTTGCGAAGAACCAATTTTTATCAAGAACAGCGATGGTATCGATATTGAAAATTGGAACGAAAATAAAAATTAATTTTTTTCATGGTAATACAAATATGAAATAATTAATATTATATCGAATTATTTTTGCACTGTAATATATTTTATATAGTTAACATCTCCTGCACTTTCAAGGCAAATAGAACTATGTCTTTTGTCTTTGAATATAGAATTTATATATTTCCTATTTTACTCATTATTATTTCATGCAAATTTGCTGATCCGATATTTGCTAATTGAAAAGAAACGGCTCAGTTATCACACACAAATTTCAAAATTTTGGCGTCAAACGATTCAGACATTTTGCTGAAACATATTTTTTTCCTATGGCAAGTTAAATGAATTAGAACAATAGTTACAATTAACATAAATACCTGTTGGGTATTAGGATGTGCAACAAATTCTTTCTGTTTATAATCCATGGCCATAATTAAACGTGGAAACATGAACTGACATCCTCCACTTCCTAATCTTTGCTTCAGTACTAATCTATCTCTTCAGTACTTCTGCAGCAACCGATAAGTTCAACAGCAAATTGCCCACCTCCTATGAAAAGGAAATGTTATCACACGCGATTGAAGTAAAACTTTTTTGTTTTCACAGGATGGCATTTCAATTGTAAATAAATACATCATATAACAATTTTGAATAATGTTTCTTAGTAATATGGTAACACTAGTGATGCACACAGTTATTAGTGTCAACCATTATACACATTTATGTAATAATAAATTATAAACTATATATTTATAATAGCATTAAAATATATATAATATTTGAAAACAATAATGCAATTAAAGTCATACTTCAAATATGAAATGATCGGTTTGTCATTGTAATTAGCATTTAGGTCTTGGACCTTTATTAGAGAAATGAAGTAATTGCTGATTAATAATTAGTTAGTTTATAAGATTTCATTCTATTAAATTTATCTGATGTTGAAATTGAATTTATATAATGTTCTATATGTGTGGACATTGTAGAAATTCATTGCAACTGACGATCCAGTATCGAAATATTGCTGCAGAAAAATACTTAAACAGAATACTAAGTATATACATTGCTTCATTTTAAAATCATTGTGATCATATTAAAATCATTGGCTTATACTAAATTAGTCATTTAAAATTGATCTTATTTGCTTACCTGTGATAAGGCTAAATAAGCGGCAGTAAATTCACGTTCTACAAATGCCCTCTGTTTCAATTGCTTAGAAAGCACAAAAGCTGCATATATCGGATCATGAGAAGAATGACAGAGATATGCTGGATTTGTTATAGCCCTGTATATATTCAATCTAAAAATATAAATAAATATAATAGTTTATACATTAAAATATGAAGCATTTAAACTCCAAACTCCTCTAAAACTCTTTGGTTTTATTCTTATATATATACTATGTAAAATTTTGAAAATTGCTTAGAAAGATTTTTCCAATTCCAACACTAATTGCTAGTTGGGTAGATCATTAACTAATTTTCTATTGTAGTTAAATATTCAATCTGTACTTACCTCTTTGTTGCCGTATACAAAAGATCTTCCTTATCTCTCTGTCTGCATTTTTCACATCTGCATGCCGGTTTATGTGGCTTTTTAATAGGCGGATGGCCACGTTCTAACAATTTGCCGATAATTTCGTAATGGCCACATTGGGCAGCCAACATTAAAGGTGTCATGTGCTCTGGAAAATCGGAACTTCCGGGCACTCCGTCAAACTCTGACCCTGGAGATGTTTCTTGCACTTTGTCGATCAGCATATCTAGATAATAAGAGAATATTCACAAAAAAATTACCTAGTCTATCACTATGTCTTGGAACCAATTTAGTACTAACAAATAGATACAAAAATTTGATAGTTGAGTTTTGGATTTCTATATTGTGAATATAAGTGAACAATATAATCATTTATATTTTTTTAAAAAATCTCATAAAAATAATTTCAGTTTTTTATGAGTTTATTATTATCTTTTACCTAATATATGAGATTGATTATCCCGAACTGCATGTAGTATTGTATCTGCTACGTCGATGTTACTTTGAAGCAGCAAAAATTCTACCATTGGTTCGGCGTGTGTTTGCACAGCCACGTGTAATGGAGTTAATCCCTAATCAATTATAAATAAATCATTTCATTATCATAAATTTATTGATGTAATGCAGGGTAAAGCGAGGCTAAGGTAAAGATATTAAGCAGCCGTTACCTTATTTCTTGTGAAATCGTTATCTGGCAAAGGTCAAAAATAAGGTACCATAAGAAAATAGTAAATAAAAAAATTAAGATAATTTTTTTTTAAGTGATAATGGTGGTGTGGTAATGATAATTCTAGATGAGAAAGATCGATCAAGGTTATATACAGTGTGATATTTGTAAAAATTTGCCATGAAATGGGCTTATCGGTTGAATAAGACAGATATTGTTTCGTAAAATACTTCCAAAATTAAAAGTAGACATTAGATCTGTTTGTCTTCTGGCTGTCCCTTTTGCTCGTCTATGAGATAAAAATGCCAGATATATTTTAGAAAAATAGTAAATAATCATATTTCAATAATTAGGAATTATCTAACTTGTACGTAGTCCGGCAATTGTTTGTTTGATCCGTGTATGTGCTGTGATGTAGATTTGATTGGATTAGACAGTGTAATTACAGAATGTCAATTTCATTTTAGACAATAACCACACACTTAACTTTAATATAAAGTGCTTTAATATCTTCAAAAAAATAACTATTTGTTGATAAATTTTACATTCATTTTACTACATGATTTCAATTTACCTGAAAATTGATGCAATTGATGTTAAACCCTGGATTGTCTTGCAAAAATAACTTAGCCATGTTAACATCTCCAACACCAACAATTTCAAAAAATTCCTTTTCCTTATCCTTCAAAAAAGGCAACTCGATGCTCGCCTTTCTCTCCAAACTACCCAAATCTTCATCTTCTTCGAGCAGTGGTGCGTAAGCTTGATTAGAACCAAATATTTTTGATGACCTGTAATAAACAAAAATTGAAATTGGATATCAAAAAGTTAAACTTCAACTATACTCAGAGAAGATTTTTTATTGCCTTTTCACACAGCAATGTTTGAATGGGCTATATTCAATTATAAACATATTTTTGGTGTACATTTTCAAATAAAAATTGATATCACTAGTGCATGATATCAGGTTATCCAGAAAGGGGTTTGAACTCACTACCCAGTCTACACAAGGCAGTACGCTTAACTTTTACACCAAATAACACCTAAGTACAGATAGATAATATAGATATTTTTTAGCTATACTTTTAGGTTATTTAGCTATGAATTACGAAGATTGAAACATATATTGAAGCAAATAACAAAAGCATTTTATTCTTAGGTTATATAATAAAATGGTAATAAACAATTGAATGATTAGATCTTACACAAAATCTCATAAACATTCAAAAAATATTTTTATTAATTGTAAATAAAATATGTATAAATTCAACATTACGTATTCGTGTAGATCTCTGAAATGCTTTTATACAACAAGAAAGTAACAGACGCTATCATCATACTTGAAACTCGTTAGATCTTGCTGTTGGATTTATAATCATAATATTTAAATGGGATTCTAATAAATCATTTATATATCATCTTATTATGCATTTCCTTTAATCATTAATATTTTCAAACTTTAAATCATCAATATTTTCTGACATTTAAATTTTTTGATGTGACATTTAAGGCAAAAAACAATTTGTTTAGCTGTATATTCTACAACTAGTCTCAGGTAAAATGCGAATATATATTTGGAAGAGCGCTGAGCAATATTTTACTATATAAATAGTTTGTTTTTTGTATGGTACTGCAATTGTTATATGCAAATAATTTTAACAATAATTGATACACAGTTACCTTTTTTGGCCACTAAGCGAACCCTGAGAAGATGATCTCTGTTGTTCTAATGATCTCTGTTCTTCTAAATCCGACATTCTTTCCTAAATATGAAGGTCATATCATGTCCAGATTGTTGATAAATACCATCTATATGTTATTTTAGCAGTTATCAAAAATATATTTAGTGCACTTGTCAAAAGTTTTGTTTTTTCTAGAATTTTTTTGCCATTGATAGCCTGCTTCAATTAAACAGATTTTCTTTGGTTGATAGTAACATACATACTACATATAAACTGTAGCATATTATTTATAAGAGATGAATAAATTTCAAACATTGCGTAATAAGTTTTAAATATATTTAAAATATATTGTTTATATAATAAAAATTATATTTAAATTATTAACTACTAAGATTTATTTGACTTTTGATTAACATAGCGTAATATTTTCAAATCATATTAGTCAATTTTAATAATGACATCAATAAATAATAACAGGTAGTAGTGTTCTAAGGCAGGTTCGTGAGCTGAGTTAAAATCAAGTCGCCATGCCCGAAAATAGTATATTTTCTTTCGGAAACATATTTTTTGTCTATATATTTAAGTGAAAATGGGCATCGCTACAGCACGATGTCAGGTTGTTAAGAGCGGGGTTCAAACTTACGACCTTGTCAACACGAGTCCGTGAGCTTAACCATTACACCAATAAACACCCATAATTAGTCATTATAACACGAGTCCGTGAGCTTAACCATTACACCAATAAACACCCATAATTAGTCATTATTAACTTCCCGTAGGGTAAGTTATAGTAATCTCAAAAAAATCGAAAATAAAATTTTTTATATATCTGTGTTTCAAAGGTTTCTCAATATTTTGGAATACCTTAGAAAAAATGGATGTGTGTGCGTGGGTGTGTGTGTGTGTGCGGATACAAATTTTCGTCGACGATTTCGGGAACACCGATCAACTGATTTGAATAATTCAAACATTGTATTGATGTATAGGCAGGTCCAGCCGTTTCGAAGATACAGAGCAAAAAGTGCAGAAATTCCGATTAGATCCTAGACATTGCTTTATAGCGTTATGCATTTCGTTATAGCTCAGTTGGTTGGCGCGTCACCGCAATTTTTGTTTGCGTTAGTAGATAAGAAAGCCAAAACTGATCGGGTTCGAATCCCACGCGTTTAATATTTTTCAAATTTTTTTTTTAATACTTTTTATGTTTGTATAGTTGATACTGCATGAACTTTTTTAGTGCATATATTTCGCAAACAAAAAATTGATGCATTTGAAATAAAATATGTTCATTCTAACCTTATTCCTTATCTATGATATAAACAACGTCGTCTAATCTAATAAGTTTTCACATTTTGTCTACAAGAAACAAATAATGAAAATTCTAGTTTTTATAATATTTATCTACTAGTTAATAAATATATCAAAAAAATAGATAATTATGACACAAATGTGAAAAAAGTCAATCATCATTAGCATTAATAGCTTATCTAAGAATTTCAATATATAATACTGAATTAATATTATTACTCATTTGAGCTTATACTCTAATATACCTACATAATATTTACAAGAGCTTATTATAGTCCATAAAACTGCCAAAAGTTCTAATCCATGGTCATTTCCAAATTATTGTTCCTTATTATTGTTCTATATTTTTTTGTATATAAATATTAATTTTAGATTACTTTTATTTCAGACATGTAGAACTGACTTGCTCCGATGGTCCTTGCCCACCAGTAGGAGTATGTATGCCTGCTCCAGACAACCCTTGCGATGGCGGAGAACCTCTTCAACGAGGAGGCCGAGAAGTTCTTTGTGGACCTCCAAGGATAGATGCTTGTCCATCCACCCACGAGTGCAGGATTAGTCCTCTACAACAGAAGTCAGTGTGCTGTCCTAAACCAAGTAAGTAAAATCACACTTGATAACGAGTGATTTTTACAATTCAATCAGACTATCCTTAAGTAGATAATGTGACATCATTGATGTATTTCCATAACTATAACATTAATATCTTTCTCCTAGGAGAAGTATGTTTTGAGCCAGCTGTTCATGAAGAATGCGATTTAATTAGATCTAACAACATCACTCGATGGCGATTTAATTCCATAACAAATAAATGCGAATCTTTCATTTGGTCAGTAGAGTGTCCTCTCAATCATAATCATTCGAAAGTGCTCAAGCATGTAGAGACGTTTGTCCAGGTAAAATAATTATAGATTTAGATTTCTTTATTAAATGAAATATGAATTAATTATTTATATTATTAAAGATGATATTTATAATAATTTTGTATGAATTTTTCAGTATTGACACAATGCGAGCGGTACTGGAAAAGAACGAACGTGCTGCTGCAAGATATGGTAAATAATCGACAATTATTTTTTTGAACGGCATGCAAAGTTAAAATATTTTAGTTTACTACAATAATAATGATAATAGTAATATATATTTGTACATTATATATACACCAACATTTTAGCCATATTTATTTGCAACCCATTTTATATATTTATGATCATTAATGGCTTATAACATAAAGGTGCAACATTAACTGGAGATGCAACTATATATTTTTAATTTATCTACCCCAAGTCTTTAGACGATTTTTTTTTGGACCATCAGAATATATCTTTATTGATTGCTTCATTCTTCCATAGTTTTTTTACATATATTTTTTTCTAATTGATAAACATAATATTCTGAAAATTAAAGCGATAACAAAATTTTATTTTATTATCTTAAGAATTCATATAAGAATTGTTTTATTTTTCATACCAATCACCAAAGTTATTCAAAATGTGATATCATGTATGACAATTATTCTTTCATTTCTATAATGAAATAAAAATATAATTTCGTTAGATTACAAATTCCTGATACTCAGCTATATTCTACGTTTTATTGAACTTATCTGATATATGAAAACACCACGGATTATACTGCATAATTAATTATCAAATTTGCAAGATGTATAACTATGATTCCGATAACAAGTTTATAAGCATCGTTTATTTCCTTTTCATTTACAAATAGAAAACATAAACATAAAAAAATAAGTTAAAACGAGTTTTTTCAACCTTAGTCTTTATAGCAAACAATATTCCAGTTTCTTGAATCTATAATATTACAATTGGAAATAATTATCGCATAAGTATACTCAAATATTGCCTTAGAAAGATTGTATAATATTTATTAATATCTTCTTTTCTGCAGGGAAAGGAACGTTCCTTCCAAAATGCGATCCAGAAACAGGAGCTTGGGAACCAGCTCAATGTCTTGGCGGCTTAGCAGGTTCCAATCCAGATCAATCTAACTCAGCTGGTTTATTGTGCTGGTGTGTGGATCGGAAAGGGGTTCTTTTGAAAGGAAGTTTGACTCGTGGTGCCGAACCTCAATGCAACTATAGACGTGCTCGTGGCAGATCGCATTCAGGACCTTCTGGATCGGTCGATGATGCTGGTAAATAGATTTTTTAAGTTACAACTTATATTTCATAACAAACTTCAGAAAATCACTTGATAAAGTTTTTTAAAAATAGACATATTTGAATAATTTAAATCGTCGTAATGGTCTGCCATAATGGAAAATTCAGGTTGAACTCCAGGCCACCATATTTTACATGAAAATATAAATGGAAAAATAGTTAATAGAAGATGCGGGACAGTGTTGATTCATATTTTGATCTCACGAAGTTCAAAGAATGAATACCAAATTTTAAAAATAAATGATAACAAATTTTTTAGAACTAGTTCTATATTATGCCAGAATTCTACAAATATACTATAGTGAATCATTATTTTCAGTGCTGGAAGAATTGCTTCGCCAATTAACTTCATTTAATTTTGTGGAAAACATAGAAGAATCTAGAAGTTTTAATTCACCACAAAAGTCTTTGAACCCGCAAAATAATATTTTGATACCACTCACAAATAGACAGTTGGATATTACAATAGAAGAAGAAATAAGTAAGCACAATTATTTTATTATTTCAAATATAGTTAAATACCAACAAGCAAAACTGTAATCATCAAAATAATTTATTTAGATCATCCTTTATCTCAAGAAGTGACTCCAAGGATTAATTGAGAAGATGACTTACTGATAAACCCCACCGCAGCCTCCAACTTGGAGAAAGACAATAATATCAACAATTCACATAAGAAGAAAATGCTCATTCAACCCAAGTATGATATAATAAATTTTAATAAATACATTTATAAATAGTTTCATATTTTCTGTATACATACATGTTAGAAAAATATTCTGATTACTGAATGGTTAAAGCAGATATTTTCTTTCAATTCAGTTTTATGTTATACAATAATGCCTTAATTAGTCCAGCATGAACTTATGCTCTGAATTAGTTTAATAAAACTGCTAAAAAATTGTTTCAACATCAAATATAGATTGTTATTAACAATTAAATGATATGTATTAAAATTATAAAATTTCTGAAGGAGAACATTTCGATGAATAGGAATATCTCTGAATTTTAGAATGCAACTTAGAAATCGACTTGTTGAACAATTAGATCAACCTTTTTTGTTTAATTTATTTATAGGAATTTTAAAAAAATATAACATATTATTAATTTTATTAGGCCATCTAGCAGAACACGATGCGAAGGTCTTCGAGATTCCCACCAGGCCTCTTACCCAGTTGCTTGCGATGCTTTTGGTGCCTTCATGGCCACCCAATGCAATGGTGCCTTGTGCTGGTGCGTCGATCAGGCTGGAAACCAATTGCCAGGAACCAGAACCTTTGCACCAAATGAACAAACTTGTGGTAAGAAAATACATTGAAATGATTAGCTGTCTAGGGCAATCATGTTTTTACCTGAAGATATTAAATGATTTTGTCATATCAATAATATGATAGTAAATGATTGAAGAATTTTATTCAGTCCTGAAATATTATGTATTTGGATTTACATAAATGTTAATACATTTTCAAAATTATATTTAATTATTACTTTTTACAACATTCTAAATTGTTCATTCACCGACTGCTTTGAAATAATGCTTGAATTTGTAATACGTTGACTAACTTAGTAATTTATTAATGCCTTGATATCTTTTTTATCTTCAATCTTTTCCCAACAGTCCCCACACCTATTCAATCAGTGGAAGTCGTCCTGGGAGTTTCAAGCGATTTAGATCAAGATGAGATTCCAGAATCTCTGGCTAACGAACTGGATTCATTAGTACGAACACTTGGTGGATCAGTTAGAATGCACCAGGAACAATTGGCGAGGAGTACACCAGGACCAATGTCAGTTAGATTCCATATTGAAGGGGAAAACAAAGTTGATGTAGCCTATAGGCTGGAAGAACTGGTAAGCGAATAATTTATTATGGAAATGCCGATAATAGACGATAACATTTGAGTTTTGTTTAACACGTTTTAAAGTCTTTTTAATACGCACATACTTTTTGAACATTATAAGTTATAAGACCTATTTTTTTGACCTTTTTTTTTTTTCAGGTGAAGAACCAACAATTATCTCTAATTGGCGATAAACCATTGTCAGTGGACATGACCCGAACTAGGTTTATGCACAGAATTGCTGATATGCCAATTGCAGCAGAAAGTTTAACGTCACCTCCAAGAATTTTTCAACAACTTAGTTCTACAACATCAGGTTTGTTTTAATTTGCAGCATTTGTAGTTCACCATATTTACATTTTTCTTCAGAAATCTTTTGCAGCTTCCCGTAGGATAATAATTTTGTGAACTAAATAGCAAAAAGTAATATTTGACATTTTTAATGTGCATAGTTTATTAGAGTTAGGAAAGATCCAGTGGTTTGGGATTAGAACATTAAAACTGTGTAGGATTTTTTTTATTCATTGTACGCATGTTTTGTTAATTTTAGGGCTTTGCACCAGTATAGGAGATATATTAAAGTCTTATATGAATCTGCATAAGCAAACTTTTAATTTAATTTTGTGAAATTTTGTGAAAAACTTCATATATTTGAATGTTAGACTAAAACAGTCATGTTAAAATATCATTATATTTTAATTATAATAAAAACTGATGTTAAAATAATATTCTCCTTTTTTTGTTTATTGCCTATTACAAACAATTATATATACTTTAATTATATCCGTCGCTTAGCAAGATTTTGTTACAATTTACTGCAATGAAAAGTAATGTATTAATATAAAAAAGTGTGAAAGGAATAATAAAATTTGAAATAGCCCAAGGTGCAAATAAATAGGAATTAAGAATTGCTTCCACATATACCTAATTCTTAGGTCGTCTTGATTTTAACTTGAACATTACTAACTAACCTTAATTTATTTTAGAAGTGAGTTCCTCGTCATCCCTCGATGGTGTTACACCCCTGCAAACGGCCGTTTTCGTTTTAGCAACTGCATCGGCATTTTTGGTGGGAGTGTTTGTTGTGTTTGTCATGCTGCACAAAGGACAGGTTCGTACTATGTTATGTTTTAAAATTAGATTTATTTTTAAAAAAATCTGAAAAATAAATGATTAATATTAATAATTATATAACTTTTTTTTCTTAATCTATACAGAATATGATTATTAGTTATTGTAAATTACTTTATAAAAACATATATGCAAAGAATAACATTTTTGGCACTTTCCGCTGAATTTGACTGCGGGACCATACGGTTACTTTTAATCAAATGCATTTTTCTTTCAATACTTATTGATAATTTTTGAGAAAATGTTCTTAAGATTTTTCAGACCTGGTTTTGTTTGGAAATCATATGCGGTTTTTTATTCAGGGTATAGAGAATTTGTTATTTTTCCTCATAACTAAAATATGCTATCAAAGTATAAAAAGCTCTTAAGATAGCATCGTATTGTATTTAATTCTTTACGTGGTGATACGTAATAATACTCGGCGGCATCCGAGTTGAAATGGTTAAAATTAACCCTACCACCCCACCCAGCATCATGTGTACCTTTAATGCTTACAAAGAAACGTTAAATTTTTGGTAATTTTTGAAAAAAAAAATCGGATTTTTTTTAAAATGTAGGTGCCTCTTCCCATTTCAAGTCTCGCGTGATTAATGGAGGCCCCCTGAAATTAACAGTATTGATATCCATACCTGCATGAAAATGTGATGAAATGTGAGGCATCAAAATTGGCACCTGCCCGTACCATGATTTCAGTCTTCCAAATAATCTGAAGAAAAATATATGTTGCCCTGCTTTATTATCACTCATAACTACGGACAAGTTTAAATAATGTTTAAATAAGCAATTGGCAATAACTAAGTCGGTTTTACAGTAGACAACCCTAAACAGTTGGGCTATCTCAATATAATGAACTCTTATTATTACAATTTTTGTGACAGTGATAATTTTTTTATTAATGCAGCAATGCCCAAAAAGGTATCTTTCTACTTGGAACCATATTGCTATCTATGGGATCCATTTTGCCGCATGTTACGCTCCAACTTCCATACATTATGCTACTGTTTTACACATAAACTGCAACGCCACTCGTATCTTATGGACCTGAGTCAGAAAGACCCTGTTACCTAACTTCGTTTTTTTGGCATTTGTGCGGTTTCTAAATAATATTTTCTATCTGAGAAAATCGCCTTACTGCAAGGCAATCAAATGGCTTTCGTCAATATTTAGAACTAATTCGTATGGAAAGTTCTTCATAACATAGCCTTGCCATAACATTGGTTTGTTTTGCGGCAGAATCGATTCCTATATTTCCATGTAAAAACCGATGTCACTGGTGTTCAACATTGGACTGCTTGACAGTTAACGAATCTGGACCTCTGTTTGAAATCTTATAACTCTAACCACAAATTCACGGGGATTTCTATTTATACAATTTGTATAAAAATTTTACAATCATTTATCGAGTTACTTTGCACTTTAATTATTTATGATGCATAAAAATGTTAATGAGGATATTTTATTACTTTTTTCAGAAAGCCAAAAACTTCGAAAACTACCAGAATAAAGCAGAGCTGGGCGATAGGTTTTTGGCATCTGGCCCTTTGTATACGATCAACTCAGCTGAACTCAAGACGGAGACGCACTGAAATGTAAACACTTTTGGTCTTCGTTATTCGAAAATAAATAAAATCGTGGGACATTATAAACAATTCGAAATTATTTTGAATATTTAAAAAGATGTGATGTATTCTTACTAGTACAGTAATTGTTAAGATTGATCTAAAATTTTATAAACTAATTGAAAAAGTTTAAAAATGTTATAGTATTTTTTTATTTATTCCAGTCAAAATTTAAAAATGGTGTTGATTTCAGTCATAAATCCTTGGGAATACTGGCGCTGCATGATAATAAAATAAACTTTAGTTTCCTTGAAACTAATCATTTCAATATTTCAAATGAACATAATTTTTTATATCATTTCTCAAAATTACTCACGTACCCTACTGTATATGCTCTTTATATATATTTTATATATTTTTCATAAGCACATTGTCTGAGAGGAGGTGTATCTGAGGTCTGGCAAAATTTTGTTATAGATAATATTTGTATCAGAAATATACTAACTATATGTCTAATACAAATCTTTCTTATTTTTTGTAAAATTTTAAATTTTAGCAAAATCAATAAAATTTTGCCCGCAAGACGTACATGCATGATGTATGAAAGCACATTTAATTCATGTAAAATCACTTTTCGTACTATTTAAGTTTTGTTTCTATTTATTGGTAAATTTGTATTTAATTTCATTAATGTAAAATATATGTGTACCAAATTTATTATTGTTTTTCTTTTATGTTATTGCAAGATTAACCTATTATATAAGTTCTCAGAAATTTTACAGATGGCAAGCCAAACAGTTGTCTCATCTCTGTGTGATAAATTACATTATTATAATTTCTGTAACAAGGCAAATATTTTTATTGATGCAGAAATGCCATTTTCACTTGAAATCATATTGCTGTCTATGTTTTCAAGTGAAAACGGATGTCAAGACTGCTTGACATCAGGCTCCTCCTCGAATCTGGGACCTCTGATTCAGATCCGCTCTAACCACTTCGGATATTTTGGATATTTTATTTCTAAATGTAAACCTTTGTGGATATAAACTATATAAACTGATATCCCTCTATTTAAGGTTTTTATCTCCCAGAAACCTTATCTGATAAACATTTAACAAAGGAATATTTGTCTGCCATATTTTACTCAAAATAATTGTATGTGAGCAATAAACGATAATAAATCGAATGTTACGTAATTCAAAATATTGGTATAAAACAGATGTAAAGCATGGTACTTCGTCAGATGTAACGTGTTTGAATTCGGAAGCACTTCTCCTAAAAAGGAAAAATTATTTATTATTTTGCAAAGGACTTTGTGATTTTAGTTACTATCGTTTGTGAGTGAGTTTTATGAATTAAGTGCACCTTGTTTTTATAAATTCTATAAAGTTGTGTGATGTTACTGTGTCCTGTGATTGTTCTGTGAACTATATTACTGCTAGATATGGATGATTACAATGTAAGTAGATTTTACAATTAAATTAATAATACTTAAATTGCAAACAGAAAGTTAAAAAAATCTATAAGCTTTTGTGCTGGTTATTAGAATTCCAGTAATAGTACTGGAGTTTTATATACATGACGTGATGGAGATCACCCGAGTGAGCTACTCCAAATTAATGCATCAAAACAGGGCTTCTTAAACTACGGGTCGCGATCCCAGATGGGGTTGCGTAGGAAAATTCTGGAGTCGCAAGAGATTTTATTGTCAAATGTTTATATCATTTTATAACATTACGTCTTGATTTTTGTATGTACTTAACAAGTTCTTAAACAATATATGTAGGTTGGTCAAAAAACTTGCCATCATGAATGGGGTCGCCAAGAAATTCGCAATCGTAAATAGGGTCACAAAGGAAAAAAAGTTTAAGAAGCCCTGCATTAGAAGATCAAAGGGTTGCTTCTTGTTCAATCTTCTAATAGCTGGTGGTTCTAATATGGGAATTAATGCAGGGTTATTGTAGTTGAAAATCTTATTGTGATGGATTCCAACTCTGTTTTTCACTACTTACTGGACAATGTCAATCTTATCGTGTATTATTTAGTTACTAACATACCAAGGTGCATTTGCACTACTTCAGAAAGTAGATTTTCTACTATAAACCATTATATACAGGGTGGACCATTCAAAATAGAATAGAAATTTAAATGCTTACACTTGAAATGCCTTTGCATCACTATGGAAATTATATTTACTGAGACGGTAGTGGTGATCTGTGTACCTAATCATAAATGAAAACCTGTTGTTCTTTCTTTCATGTTAATTACAATCTGTCAATAGGGAGACATTGAATAATTAGTTTGCTAATCAACAGAGGTTTTTATAAGAAAAACCCCATTGTTTGCCTTTTAACTGTGTACTATACATCTAATTTTTTTGTTTCGTTATTGTAAAAAAAACTATATTGTGCACGTACTTTTATAAACACTTATACACTACACATGCAAAAGCACAAACATACCATACATAGTATGTTAAAACATGAACTAACTAGTAGTGCATGTTAAGGTAAATTGCTATAACTTACCTACGGGAAGTTACCAAAATATAGACTATTTATTAAATCTTTAGACTATTTAATTAAATCGTTTAATTTCTTCTCTGATTGCTTGACTTGTTATAGTGATCATTTTGAGACATATCCTAGTGCGCGTACTGCCTGACAAAGTAGTTTATTTTGAAAACATTGTATTATTTGCAAATTGTATTATTTGCAAATTTTAGCAGCGCCCCATGATTGAATGCTATACATATAGATTGGTTTATTGATGACTTTGCATACATTTTTTTTTCATATATGGACAACTTTGACCTATTACTGAGAAATTCATTGATCTTCGAAGGTGTTCCAATTGTTCTGACTTTTCAGTTTAGTTCTTGACCATGTACATACTTGCATTCTCAATAGCAAATAAAGAAAAGGTTCAAATTATTTTCACTTTTAAAGTTAAGGGTAAGATGAGCGTAATTCCAAAATTTCTTGCAAATTGGAGCATATCGATTTGTGTCTTCATCATGTCTTCAGATAATTTTCTTAACATTTTCTAATATTTCTTAACTATGAACGGGTGTACTAGGAGCCTGTGGTATCTTTTCGAACACATACCCTTTACTTATAACGCATCATATATTTTAAAAAAAGTATATTATAGTGTAGTGTATATATGATAAATTATTACTGGAATTTCGTTTAAAACATTATGTATACATATGATTGTATAGTTTTACTTGTCGTCAACGATCATACCATGTTGAATATACCGGTTCTCGTCCGATCACCGAAGTCAAGCAACATCGGGCGTGGGTAGTACTTAGATGGGAGACCGCTTGGGAACACCACGTATCGTTGACTTTTTTGCCTTACAGAATATTTTACTGATGTTAAGTCTAATACTTAGTAATTCTTAACCCTTTGCACTCGAATGCCGCCAGCCTGGCGGCATAATACGTATAAATCTCGAATTCTCGAGTGGAAAGTGTTGGCTCTCGGCATATGTGAAATCTTGGATAGAGCCGGGAATACATACCTGGTATTTTGTCTGGCACTATATATCTATGCAATGCACTCTACACATTATAAGAATTATTATTTTCATTGCTCTTTCTATGCACTGCACCTCATTTTTGGAACTAAAATGTGTCATTTGAAATTACCAAATAGATCCATTATATTGATAACTTATTTTTCAAAAGGATTATGTATCGTTTAAAAAAGATTTCTATTTGACCATTCTAATTTTAAATTTTAAAAATTCTTAAAACTGGATAAAACAACTGTTAGTTGGCCATTTGTAAAGCAATGTCAATAAAACAACATCATAACAAGCTTGCAGAGTTATTAAGTTCTCGTGACTATTAACAACAAATGAGCTTCCAATCAGATTAATACCCACCTTAATCAACCTGATTTGAAGCAGTCGTGACATTATGGTTTGCACTTTGAAAATTTATATAATTCAACAAAAATAATTATGACAAGATGTTGGGTTACCATCTATAAAGCAATGTCAATATAAAGCGATCATAACAAGCTTTCAGGTGTAATAAGTTTTTGTTGCAATTAACAACAAATAAACTTTATAATCAGGTTTATACCCGCCTTGATCAATCTGATGTGAAGCTGTCGTGACATTATGGTTTTAATTTTGAAAATTTAGATAATTTATTAAAAATAGATAGGACGACTTTTTGAGTTGCGTCCAATTTCGTTCATAACCGTCTTTAAACCCGGTTTTCGATTTATAAATTCAGATAATTCATCAAAAAGAGATAGCACAACTGATAAGTTGCCATTTATGAAGCAATGTAATTAAGGATCCATCAAAAAACAAACTTAAAAAATATCAAGTTCTCATGGCTGTTAACAAAAAATGAGCTTCCAATCAGCATGATACCCTCCTTGATCAACCTCATGAGAAGCAGGAAGCAGCAGATGGGACAACCGTAGAGTTGCCTTCTATAAAACAATGTAATTAAAGAGCCATCAAAACAAGCTTAGAAGCAAGAGGACTAGCAAGTTTTCAGGGCTATTATCAAACTAGTGGTGTATGGCATCGTGCCTTAAGGCAAATTGCTGAAACTTCCCGTATCGTAACGAAATATTCGAGAAATTTTAAACGTTTTCAAATATATTATTACAAATACTGTAACTTTCATTATTTCAAATCAAATGTAAATCATAAATCAATTTATCTGCAGAACATTAACAATCGTCATTTCATTTCAAATTTAATTTCAAAAAAATAGTTGCCTAATTTAAAATTGAAAAAGTGGCCCCGTATAGTCACAGTCTAAACGGATTTGCAAATAATTCTGTACGACATTTTTACTTATACTCTTTGCTCCGTATCTCCGTAACTGCTGGACCTGCTTTTGCCAAAAACTAATCAGCACATCTCCCTATATCAATAGGGATCGAATGTATTTAAAACCATTCACATCTACATTCAAAACCATAGACAAAAAAATGCGGACATACAAAACACACACACACACACACATCCATTTTTTCTGAGGTATGCCAAAATGTTCAGAAACCTTCAAAACGTCGAGAAATGCAAAAATTTTCATTTTTGATTTTCGGCCCATTACTATAACTACCCTACGGGTAGTTAAAAATGAGCTTCCAATCAGGTTGATACCCTCCTTAATCAACTTTATGCGAAGCAGTCGTGACATTAATGCCACTCTATTTTTAGTTATCACTATAGTTATAGTTTTTTCATTGAAAATTTAGATAATTCATCAAAAATGGTTATGAATAATCACATCTAATCAATATGTTGGGTTGCCATCTATAAAACAATATTATTAAAAAGCCATCATAACACGCTTATACATCGACTCTTATTAATCACATTGCTATCCAATTGAGCTTCCAATGAGGTTGATACTTGCATCATTGGAAGCTCAATTGTTGATTTTGATAGCAATGCGATTAATAATAGTACGACTGTTGGTGGCTTCTTAATAACATGCCTTGATCAACCTGATGCAAAACAGTGGTGATATTACGGTAAAATATAGAAAATTTCTTAAAGCTAGGTGGGATAACCATTGGGTTGCCATTTATGAAGTAGTAGTGAAATTTAGAGGCGTCCATTTATCACGTGATCGATTTTAAGGATCTTTGGACCCTTTCTTTCCTTTTACGTAATGATATTTAAAATCAACTCCTTTTCTCACCCAACATTACGTGTATTTTAGTAACTCGAAAAAATCGTAAAATTTTTGAAAAATTTAACCCTCCCCGCCAATAATAAAAAAACAAAATGGAGTCACATCTCAACCAGTCAACCACCCTCTCTCGACAGTGTCAACAACATAATAATTATTGACTTGATTTCGTTTCATAGTTAATGTAAAATCAAATATGTGCATATTTAAATAAATAACCCTTAAAAAACTTTCGTATAAATATTTATAAAACCAAAAACAATTATTTTACCCACCGAAGATAAACAATCATTGTCTGCTGACATTATAAGCAAGACCTTGAAATTGCGCACAAAATAATCATTTATCAACTGAAGTGGATGCGCCTTCTAACCATTTTTAGATAATATTTATAGATAATATTTTGGCAACTATTAACATTGTGGTTTCCCAAAATAATTTGAAGGTGAGATTAAAGTTGACATTTGCGGTACCTGTTATCAAAGTTTTAGGTTATGGCTATGTAGAGTTTAATTTGAATTACTTATTAACATAATTTTTAAGTGATTTGGCACTGATTGCGTTGCTAGAAATAATCGTAGTTTTATTATTGAAGCTTTAATAATGATACGTTATTTAGGAATCGGTTGTTTGGTTGCTGCTTCTTTGTATATCACACGGTAAATATTAATTAATAGTAATATTGATCATATTATATTTCTCGTACTTTCACCTAGCTTGTAAGCGTTGTGCAAAAATTTATTTGCTTTTTGTAATATGTACATAGAATCTATGTAATTTGGAAATTTAAATTGCCTATGTGTACAAATCCAAACTTTGTAAACATAAACATATTTATCTGCAAAATTCTTTGTCCATTTATGATTTTATGTCTCCTGTCATAAGAACGCTTCTATTTTAGTTCACTTGATTTCCAGTCACTTGCTTTATTTTTAAAGTAGCAATTTTGGCTTGTAGGTGTTATTTTGTCGGTAAAAAGTGTGCATGTACAAAAATATATGTTAACGGTGAATATATAATAGTCACCGGAGCTTCATCTGGCATAGGCAAAGCTACTGCAACCGAATTAGCTCACAGAGGTACCCACCACATTACCAAATATTCTTATTATTCATATAAAATATAAATCATAGTTGTTTTACCCAGGTGCTCGTGTTATTTTGGCTTGCCGAGATGTAGAAAAGGCAAGAAGAGTCAGGAATAAAATAATTCTAGTCACTAGCAATATCAATGTGACTGTTTTGCATTTGGATTTGACTTCATTCAAAAGTATTCGTAAATTTGTTGCCGAAGTAAAAGAGTTGATAGCTGGTCACCAATTGGCTGCTTTGGTCAATAATGCTGGGTTGTTTTATGCGGATCCTAAATTAAGTGAAGATGGATATGATTTGACTTTCCAAACTAATTATTTAGGTATGAGAGATTTGGTAATACAATGTTGGTAAATATTTTTGTGAAAAAAGACTGTTGATCTGTTGATTTGTCTTTGAAGCATAAGTATTTTGGAATACTACCAATTATCCTAGCTGGTAAAGAAATATTATGAAAGGTCACTAGAAATCTATTCGGAAAAGCAAAATTTAATATGGTACATCACATTACAATATAGTAAACCAGACTATACAATTTTGAAAGTTTTTTTATTATTACTTCTTATCAGATTATAACATTATTACTTCTTATCAGATTATAACATTATAATGGACAAGTTATAAGTATTGATACCGCAAGTAAAGTAAAACCTAGAAAAGGTCATTGATTAAAAATATAATTTGCAAAGAAATAAAAGTAAAAATGCATGAAATTAATAATAATTTTCATTAATAGATTCTGTGGCAAAACTTATGAACTAAAATTAAAGTGTTTTTTTTAAATTTTATTATTGCACTTAAGAAAACAATAAATTCAAATCACATTTAGAACAACTTGATTTAAAATACATACAACTGTTCATTTGAATCTTAATTTGAATATATGCACTACATGATTTTATCGCTTTTCTACTTTAAATCTGAAAGATCTACCAAATTTTACAGATCTTTGTAAATTCATTCTCTTGTGGGCGACACTAGTGTGATTATAAAATGAAACTCATTAGAAGTAGTAAATATTAAATATATTTAGTTATGAATTCAATTTGCAATTGATTTAATTCTAACTGGAGAACTTTATCTTAAATAATTCCTTTGTTTAGTTTTATGGTTGTGCTTACAACGCTTTTAATATTGATTTGATACGATTTGATTTGCTAAATGGGCGAATTTGATTAAAAATTCAATACTTTTTGATTCAACGATGATTTTATTAGACATTGATATTTTTTGTACAATTTTTTGTTTTTGTATATAAAATCATGTCATACTTAATCTAACTTGGAGCTAATTTTCTTCACCAACAATCTTTTGCTCAATAATGAGAAAACTCGAATTATGTCTTTTCAAACAGTGAATAAACTATACAATGACATTTACCTTCTAATTATAACTGGCATCCAATTTGTATTTTTCTGTTTCTAAATTTATGAGCATCTTTATTATATAAAAACTAGTACTTGAATTATGAAAAATTTGTTTCATGTTGAGGATTCTTAAATCAGATGTCAGTTTAAATTGTCTTCTTTCAATTTTTTATTCCAATTTTTATTTGCATCTATCTTGCTTATGAAATACAATTCTGAAGATCTTTGTAAGTCTTAAAGAATATATTAAAGAATATATTCAAATGTATATATGAAATAGAGCCTTGGGATTTTTTTCCATGTTTTTTTTGTCCATATGTAAGAATCCTTTCTGACTGTTTAACATTATCACTATTTTCTGCATGTTTTTGCTAACTATTCTGCCCTTCGAAGACAATAATTCTGAAGATTTCGACTTGTCTTTCATGTTGAATTCCTATTAAGGAACCAGAAATTTTACCATAAAAGAAGTAATTTTTAAACTTGCAACTTCTTTTAACCATAGACGGCCTAGGAGAATAGCTTTTTAATCTACTCTTACTACAGATTTGAAAATTCAGTGATTGTCAATATCACAGCACTATCATTAAATTTTTGAAAGCCAAAAGCTTCTACGATAGAGATTTCTGAATCTCGTGTAAACATTGGTACGGAACCCATATAAATGTACACAAAATTTGTACCTATTATTAACATTATAATTATCAAAATATTTGATAATACAACGTACATATGTCTAATGTTAATTTTTGACCGCCAAACGGCGTTAATTTTTACTTTTTTATTCGATCCCCGAAGACGCTGGACCTGCCTTTACAAAAATTTGACCAGTTGTTTATTTAGTCAATACAAGTAAGATGTTTCACACTCTGTTATCTCAAAAACGGAGGTTTATCTCTTTTTGACCCATATCTCCGAAACGGCAAGACCTGCTCTTGCCAAAAAATAATCAGCACGTGTCCTTATCAGTAGGAATCGTTTATTTTTTGAATTATTCAAATCTGTTGATCCATGTTCGCGAAATCGTCGACGGAAATTTGTATCCGCACACATATACACACACGCATACATCCATTTTTTCAAGGTATGCCAAAATGTTCAGAAACCTCTGAAACGTAAAGATATATAAAAAAAAAACTATTTTCGATTTTTTTGCGATAACTATATCTTAGACAAAACTATTGTTTAAATATATTTTTGCTTCATGGTTTAAATTTATATTAGTTGCCCTAAATTTCATTGTTATTATAAATTGATGTCTGTATAAAATCATCACAAAAACAAGAATTGACGCTTTGTTACAATGACGTGGTGTTATTACATCATAAGAGAATGCAAAATATAACTCATCCAAATTGTTGACAATTTTTTATTATTATAGAAATTAAAAAAAAATCTTTCCACAAAAATGCTTACCAACATTTTACAAATTTTAAAATATTTTCCATCCAATTGTATCAATATTGTAATCTGGTTTTGTCTTTTTAAAGGTCCATTTTTGTTAACACAACTGTTGTTACCAACTTTGGAAGAATCACCAGAAGCCCGTGTTATAAATATATCATCTGCTGCACACTTATCGGCACCAACTGTATCTATTGGCCAATTAATATCTTTCGATAAATCATCATACAATAAATTAAATGCTTATCGTCTGTCAAAACTGTCCCTGGTAGCCTATTCGTTTAAACTCTCTACATTGCTGGAATTTAAAAATTCGTCAGTGAAAATATTTGCTGTTGATCCAGGGAATGTTGAAACAGAGATTTTCCGCAATTTTCCACCATTGTGCAATCCGATTTTGTATTGGTTACAGAAACCTTTAAGACTGATTTTAGTTAAAACTCCTTCCGAAGGTGCTCAAAGTGTATTACACGCATTGTTTTGCCCAAATTTGAAATCTATTTATATATCAAATGTGTCAGAGTCTATGAAGTACTCTGATGTAGTAAAAGACACTGATTTTTGTGATTCATTAATAAAGGCTAGTGAACTCTGGGTAAAGGCATAAGAATTATTTATTGTATTCGTTCTAAATTTAATAACATGGGAAACATAGAAAAAAACGTTATTTTTGCTGGTGTTTTTGGCATTAAACCTGTTGAAGATGCAAAATGTATAATAAAGTTATCTAACTTGGTATTTGAATGCTCGAGTGATCCATATTTGGAATGGACTTCGATAAAAACAATATTTCAGGAAGGTGATAGAAATCATCTTATCATCGGTGATGTTGATTACGATTTTGATAAATTAATTGAGTCGGCTGTGAAAACAATGCACAACAAAGAAGTAAGTGATTTTATATTGAAGGCCAGTATAACATTAAATCAAATATCACATGATATATCAGTTAAGGTAAGAATAGAGCTGATAAGTCTTATAAATATGCAATATGTTCATGATCTTCCATCAGTTCATAAGGCATATATTGCTAGAAAGCATAAAGACAGAGGTGTTGATTTTTTCAAAAAGCAAGAATACTTAATAGCCTTCAAGAGATTCAGTAAAGCTTTGAAGTTATTAATATCACTAGGCCCATACAGCGATAGCGGACTTAACGATGTCGATTATAAAATAGTTTTTGATCTCAAGCGAGATTTGTATAACAATTTAGCCTTATGCAGGCAGTGTATGAAATCGAAGAATCCAGAAGTTAATCTTCAACATATTGTATATTTGTGTAATAAAGTTTTAGAGATCGATTCCAACAATATCAAAGCTCTGATGAGGCTTGCAAAGGCCAAGACTGAATTAAGAGACTTTGAGGAAGCCAGAGATGTTGTAAGTAAAATACTGGAGATAGAACCAAATTATTCTAGTGCCAAAAGTGAAATGATTAAGTTAACTACAATAATAAAAGAACAAAATAAAAATTCTGATAGTATTGTTAAAAAAATGTTTGGAAACTTATCCTAAACTGTAAATTCTATGTATTTCTTGTATATATTTAATTAATAAAACAAAGATTTATATATAAATTATAATTTTTTGTTTCAAATTTTGTTTAATAAAATTTAATCGTTAATTATTGTTTATGAGTAAAATAAGAAGAAACTTTTTTTTTGAAAAATTTAAATATGCATATCTCCAATTATTTCAAATTTTGATCTCTTTATCGTCAGTCACTTACAGTTATATTTTTCTTCTTAAAACAAAATAAAAATTTGGGAGTCTATCACTGAAGATAGATTTTAGTCTTATAGTTAGTTAAAATTTTATACTTTGTGTTAGTTTCAAATAAAAAATTGAAAAAAAAAGTTTGCTAAAATGATCTGAATATCATCAATAATGAATGTATTTTTAAATACTTTTGTATTATTTTGAAGATTTTGTGTTAATAGTAAATATAAATAGCCTAAATGTTTAACAATAAAGAAATGATAAAAATAAAACTAGTTGCCAGTGGCATTTTGTCTTAAGGCAAGTTACATCAGCTTCTCGATATGTATGCATAATCAACATAAAGTAATGATAAATAAGTAATAAACAAATCAACATAAATTAATCAATAAATATTTATATTTAGCCATCACATAATGTGTGTTATAAAGATAAATGGATTTAGCTATTTAGGTAAAAGGTTCCATTGTTTATTTCGAAAATAAAATTTTAGTCCTCAATAATTTTAATTAATCACTGGTATTCCCAAACAATATCTTTTCGTTTTTCAAACTAGCTGTAAGTGGAATTCTGTCTTAAGGCAATTAAGGCAAATTGCTGGAACTTCCCGTACCAATTTTTTTTTTTTTAAAAACGATTAAGATTTTTAAAAAAATTTTACTTCGAAAAAATAAGATTTTTGAGAAACTATATATTGGACAAAAAATTACTTTTTTTTGAAAAAAAAAAATTTTTTTTTAAAAATGTTTTATTTTGACATATTTTGGAAGATCTAAACTTTTTTTCAAAGCAATCGTACTGCTTTAACTGCATAAAGACGAAATATCAAAGCGCGTAAGCGCCGCGTCGCCGTCTAACGCGTAAACATTGGTACGGAACCCATAGGAATGTAAAAAAAATTATACTTTTTGTTAAAATCTCTATAAAATATCTGATAATTTGATGTGCATATGTCTAATGATCATTTTTGACCGCCAAATGGCATTTTTTTTTACTTTTTTCATCAGATCTCCGAAACCGTTAGACCTGCCTTCATGAAAATTTGATCAATTCTTTATCTTGTCAATACAAGTAAAATGTTTTTTGAATTATTCAAATCGGACGCTCCGTTCTCTTAAAAACTGAGTTGCCGTTTTCGGCACTTTTTGCCCCGTATCTTTGGAACGGCTAGACCTGCCTTCGCCAAAAACTAATCAGCACGTCTCCTTATTAATACGAATCGAATGTTTTTTGAATTATTCAAATCGGTTGATCCGTGTTCCCGAAATCGTCGACGAAAATTTGTATCCGCACATACATACACACACGCACATACATACATACACACACACACACACACACACACACACACATACATCCATTTTCTAAGGTATGCCAAAATGTTCAGAAACCTCTGAAACGTAAAGATATATAAAAATTTTCATTTTCGATTTTTTTGCGATTACTATAACTTGCCCTACGGGAAGTTAAAACAAAACTGCTCGGCAGATCGTTGAGCAAAAATGACATGTGCGAGTTCTTAACGAGTTAAATCGAACGGCTTTTAAAATTTTGAAATTGGTCTAGCCGTTCTTGAGAAAACTTCATACTTTTTCTCAAATTTGACCTCATTCGATTCAGAATGATTGAGACAAGGATTTCCTTGCGAAATCAAACTTCTCCGGGAAGTTAATAATGTATACAATAAATTTCCTGATTTCTAGATTACAAGCAGTATTTTTTTTGACAAAAGTTATTCCAAAAAATTTATAATGATGAATGAATTATCAGTATCAGTAGCAATAGCAAATCAGCTCTCCTACAGCAACATCGATTTACTTAATGAATACATTGATTTCAAGTTAATTTAAAGTTTGTATCAATCAATAGCATTTATTTAGAAAGTCTCGCTTTCAGATCATGTTAAAACTCTTGGAAAAATGAAAATATTTCTTTAAATTTTAAATATAAGCCAATGTACAAAATTTTATCAGCAGCTCTTATTGGCCATACTTATTTACTAATTATTGAAAATAATATTTAAAAATACACATTTATTTCTTCATTATTACAACAAAAAATACTTTATTCAAAGATAGAGCAAAGAAGTTAAAATTCTTAAAATTATATATTGCAGTATTTCAGCATATTCATGATATTATCGCTCAATGTACATACAAATTTAAACTTAGTATATTTACAGTATCTGGCAAGTACATCTATTTTGGCAGGCTTTAAATAACCATTTTCAGAACTAATTAGTATTTATATGGACCTTTTATGAAATTATTTCATTAACCAAACTAACGAATTAACTACACTATTGGTTTGGCATACTTAATGATTATAATACATGAAATATTTTCTTATTGCTTAAAGAGTAACAACCTAAAGTGATTTTTTTAGTAAAATAGATAAATTCATATTTGAAATTGTTTCAACAATGCTTAAAGATAATGATATTAAATTTGATATAAAATTTGTAACCTAGTAACATCACAATGAAAATCATATTTTCAGAATGAATTTATAACTCTTCCTTTTTAATGTATTTAAAGTTTGTTAAAGCATTTATTACAGTTATATTTTCTTATTAAGAGGAATTAAAAATAACATACAAAATAAGTAATCTATAAAAAGAATCATAAATAATTGTTTTCGTTAAAAACTACAAACCACTGCCAAAATAACGTTACAAAACCATTTCACAAAGACATCTACAAGATAACTAATAAAACATTATATATAACATAATTCATTTTCGAAATCACTTTCAGCTGAGTGTGGTAGTGAAAATTTTACAAAAAAAAAAAACACTACATGACTAAAACAACTATATATATGTCATGATTATAGAGATTATTTATAAGATTTTAGGCACTTTAGAGGTTGTTTTACCATTAACGAGAGTTAAATATAACAATATTATTTATTTGTAAGATAGAACAAAGGGGTGGGTTAATTATTGTTTCTTTTTCTTGGTGTGGTGGTCTATGGAAACATCGGAACTTTTGCGAAATTTGTTGAAAACGTTTCTACTCTTGCCCGATGCCTTCTTAATAGACTGACCGGCTTTATCCGGCAGGATTTCTTTGTATCATGACTGCTTCACCTTTCCATTGGCATGAGTTGAGTTCAGAGCTGTGGTCGCTCCAACAGTGAATGCTTGATTTGTTACATGTTGAATACTTTTTTCCATACAACTTTCATATACTGGTTTCATTGCCTGAAAAGATTAGAAATAGAAATAATCTGTAATTTTGTAAATTGATACAAAATGGAAAATGCGCAAAAAAGGTGTGGTCATTTTGCATTTGCTACAACATGTTTCGTTATCATAGATGATCTATACATACAATGGTACCCCGACTTACGAGTAATCTCACATACGAGTGTTTCGAGATACGAGCCTCAAAAAGGGCGATTCGTTGCATCAATATACGAACAAAATTCGAGATACAAACTTTGAGCTAGTAGTAACAGTCTTCTAGAAAAATGTTAATGGAAAAATAACCAAATAAAAAATTGCATCCGTTGTAACAATGATTTTCCTACCATAGAAATATTTTGGCTGTCTTATATAGTAAATTGTTTTATAGTTAGACAATTCAATTATTAATCATCAATAATATCAAGGATTAATTTAACATTTCAAATTTTAACTATGCGTTAATAGTGATTGTGCAGTTGCATATGTCGAGTTCGCGCGTTTTTTTGCTTTTTGTACATTTATAAAATACTAGCTGACCCGGCAAACGTTGTTTTGCTAAGTAAGTTATATTCTAAACAATTTCTAGAGAATCAAAAAAATTAATACTTTAAGTGTATAAGGCTGTGTTGTTCGAATGTTCTATACAATGAGGTATTATAACAACAATAAACCCCATTAGTTTGTGTATATTTTGCCAATACAATCATACTGGAAGTTTTATACACTTTCTATAGAAAACATGGTATAATCCAATCCAAGCCTTTTTTCTTATTTCGATTTATTGATTATGTTTCAAGTTTTTCAAATTTTTTTGGGATTCTTGATTTTGAGTATAATTGTAAATAATTCTACTGAGATTATAAAAAAAAATTCAAATTTCTGCAAGGAGAGATAAAAAATGAATTAAGTATTTCTTCTTAGACCTGCTTTTTGAAAAGTTTCAAGTAACATCCGATGTATTAAAGTAAATTTGATAAAAAGTATATATGTAGAGCAGGGCGAGGCACAAAAGTCCAATTTGACTTTGAGCAAATATTAATTATATTATAAAAATCAAACCAATTATATCACAACGAATACATTTCAAACGAACAATTATCTGACTACGTTCAGTAACACTGCCAGCTACTTCATCATTGTAGAAATGTGCTTTTCTGCTGCCTTTCAAAAAATATTTATCTAGACCTTTTTACCGTAGGTAACTTAAAACGGCCAGGTGGCAAATAGGTTTAATGTCTAATCTTAATTTTAAACGTATTTTACAAAATAATTACATTTTTAACTAATGCCAAAAAACTACCAACGGAAGAAAATACTTTTATTATGGATTTTCAAAGATTACAGTTTATCTCCCGATAGCAAAGTCATAAGAATCAAGGTTATAATTGGTTATACATATTTTCCCTTTACTTTCAAATATTGTTGTTAAACAATGCTCAACTTTACTGGTTTTTGACACATCGATGGTGGACCTTTTTAACCCCAAACCTTCATATATTACTATCTATTCTTCGATAAATTCTGAGAAATTTTAACTTTGAAAATGTTATTCACAAAATGTCCCCTTGATTGATACCAAATTTAGGTTCTGAATTTAAATAATATATTCTAGAAAATGTTTTATAAATACCAATGAGTATACGAGTATAATTATACAAATGAGATCTTTCAGAGCACTGTGTTTGAGAAAAATATGCCAAAAAGTGCATTTTCATATTAACAATTCAAAAAAGTTGATATTTTGAGTTTCTAGTAACACTTGAGGCCCGTTTAATAACGTTTTTGTGTGCAAACAAAACTACTTACTACAATTAAATCATAATTAAATAATATTTATATGAAACATCCTATTAAACGTAATTGAACATCATCTGTCAAAAACGTTTGATATTTGACATATTAGCCACCGTCCATTGTTTTATTTAAATTACGCTTATACAAAAATTTTCAAATTAAAAATGTACAGTTTCTACGCGGATTTGAAATAAATTCTCACCTGTTGGACTTTCTCTGGATTGGCACGAATTTTTCAAGACTAAGACTGGCCAAACGGTTTAGCCGTTTTCGAGTTTTACTCGGACATTTGAAAGAGAGCTCCATTTTTATATATAAGATTATTTACTTTTTATAACCATGAGTAGCCTCTTGAATTAAAGTGTGAAATCATTGAAAAATATGGTGAGAATGCATAACGCATAATAGAAATGTACTGTTTTTAAGCAGATAAAGTTGATAAAAGGTATATCTCCTGCTAAGAGCCTTACAATAACTTATAAACAGCTTTCTGAGATCTAAAAGTTTATGGATAAAAATCACCCAAAAAAGTTGCAATAGTTTAGCATGGGAGTTCTTCAACCAAACATGTCTAATTCATTTCCACTGTATCATGGTCAGAAAAAAAATAGTACATTTATTTTGAATAATCAAATAACAAAACCCATAATGCCAAATTAAATGCATTTGATTGTCTTTATTTGGAAAAAATTTCTTCGAGATACGAGCGATTCGACATACGAGCGTAGTTACGGAACGAATTAAAATCGTATGTCGAGGTACCAGATCACAACACCAATGTAATTTGTTCACAATTAAAATGATATTAACTTCTATTGTAATAGACGCAAAAAGACCGAGTAAAGAATTCGAGTTGATATTAAATTAAAATAGTCTCTTTTAAATTTAAAATTAATTAATATAATATTAATCTTTTAAAAAATTTGGAATCACTTCTGCACAACCATGCAATAAAGCCATATCGTTTTTTAAGCAAAAGCAAAATGTATATTTAAAAAATTAAAAAAATAATTTTGTGTAATTGTATTCAAGAGTTGTAAATAAAATGTAGAATGAAAACTTACATTTATCCATATCATATTTGCAATTTCATCGATAGTGACACCAATATCTGTAAGTTCTCCACTGTATCTGTAAAATTATGAAGAAAAGTTAAAATCTGATTACAGATTAAGGTGTTAAATTAAATATTCATTTGTATTCATCTAAAATACATATCTGATAATATATCATAACTGACAGTAAAAGGATGTTATTAACTAAAGGAAGTGAATTAATATACCAATTTCATATTTATATATTTACCTAATATATGCCCATAGAACCAAAGTCAGAAGTGCGACACCCATTGCAAAATTGCAGATATTGGAAATTGCATACAAACCAACCAATCCAAAGACTCCACTTAGAACATACATAAGAATGAGCAGTGCAAAAAATACTGCAGGAGTTCTAGCTGCCTATAATAAGATTTAACATTTAGTTGTTCTCTTGCCATTTAAATTATCTTCCCTTTTTCAAATTCAACTCACCTTAAATATATTTTTGCTATCATTATGTCCTTTGAATTGTTCAAATGCTTCATCCAAATCCGCTTCCAATTTAATTCTATAGTTTCTGAGAAGGCAGAGCCACCCATTTTCCTTTTTTGTATGAATGTACCAACTGCTTTATCTCTTATTCTCAAATGCTCAGATTCCAAATGTGCAGTACTTAAATATGGTTTGCTGCCTCCACAGATGTCTTCCATTAATTGTGTGTACATGTCTTTAGCCTCAGCTACAGCTGATAGATTATTCGCTTCCGCAGTAGCCTAAAAAGAAAAATTAAAAATACATATCTATTAAAACATCAAAGCAAACATTGAATAAAAGTAATGATTCACGTTTCTCTTTCCATTTCCATTATCACTTACCACAAGCATGCTCTTAGGCTCGGGAAGCTCATTTCTTTATAAATTGACATATATGCTTTGAAATACTGCACCAGATCTCTACATTTGACTGGTACGCCATTTATACGTTTTGCAATTAAGTTTTCGGGAGCCAATAGCATCGGTATGAATACTTTTAGAGAGTCTTTAAATTCGGGCGTTATATCTGTAAGTCGACCATCAAATTCGGATTTGTGGCCACAGTTAAACCAGGATGAGGCATCAGAAAACAGGCCACTTCAGTGAAGCAGGAAGCTATATGCTTGCGTAGAGATTGTAGTTCTGGGTGCTGTCTTTCTGATATCTAGAGGAAAAAAAAATAAGATTAGATGTTTGGATTCATTTAGAAGTTTTTCAGCCAGTTATAGTAGTATCATCTCCATTATGTACAATAACATTTATGACTTTTTGGTATTTAGAGTTCCATTATGAAATAATGAAATAACTATATTAAAACATACAAAATAAATAATTTTACGTTTCAAGAAAAATGTACAATTAGTTCATTTTATAAAAGAACTTTGATTTACATCGCAACATAAATTGTTGTTTCGTTTTGAAAATTCAACGAAATGTTTATCTCAAACGATAGAAATAAAGAATTCTTTATTTGAATTATTAATAATTCTCACTTTCATCCGCCTCTGTAGCAAATTCTGTCCACCCACAGCACCATATTGTTCCTCGTAGGGAAAGCTCCAGTCCCGAACCAGGAATTGCAATCTCTGGAAGGGCTTCTGT